CACACACACACACACACTAGAATTCAGGTATTACAGAATTATTAGTGCATGTGGAGAAAAGGCAGGAGGGACTTATTTGCGAATTGATAAGTGCTTCTACTTCTGTCATTTGTCCTTACAATTAGGTAAAGTCTTCACAGAGTCAGCATGTATTCTACTGAAGTGTCCTCATAGTCAGGAGAAACACACTCACACCCACACACACATTGCTCAATCCCAATTTCCACTTTAAGAAATACATTTTTAAATATTTGTAAATAATTTGATTCCTTTGGTAAAATAATGATTTTATCTCCCATAACTCTGTAATTCTAAGTCTCGTGTTCTGGGACCTGTATAATGGAGCCACATCCAGTATGTGGGTCCACATCAGCATGTGTCAGTAGGCATTATTATTGTGCTCATAAGGGATGCAGGATTGTCTCTTAGGAGCAAGTGTGCACCCAAAGCCAATTACAGACATGCTGGAAATGAAAGACAGATGCTATGGTGACTTTACTTCCAACAACTGGCTGTTTATGACTGAAACATGTTGTGCAAACCCTCTCTTTTTTTAAAGAAAGCTGCACAATGATGTCAAGAATGATGAATTGGAAAGAAGTGACTTTTTATACTAAAAACTTTTCTAGCTAAAAGTACACATTCGTGTGCAAAAATAATCAATAAATGTATTGTATGTGCAAGACTAAAGTTTGAAAAAAAGGCTTTTAGGAGTTAAACATCTTAATTTAAGAGTTATAAGGCTGCTGCAATGTGTTGTAATTGGGATGGTTTTCAAAGTCTTTGAGAACAGCACTATGATCTGATGGCACGAAAGGCTTCAGTCCCATCAAGCTGTAAGCTCCTTGTGTAAGACCCATTTCCTTGGGCGTGGGGATGGGAAGAAATGATACATGACACTGGGGGAGGTGGGAACAGGTTGGTGGGGGGTGGAGAGAGGAAGGAAGGAAGACGGACAGTGATGGACAGCACTGATCCTCATTCTTGGACCTGGAGAGCAAGAAGACAAGGAGAGGAAGATATACTGAAGCAGGGAAGGAGGGAGGCAACGTCAAAGGGGGAAGGATCACTGAGAGGGAGGGAGGAGCCGTTGGTTCTGGCTCCTGACCTGGTGTCTTGGAGCTCCACTGAGGCTGAGGGAGAAAAAATCTCACTGAGGATTTACTGTTCGGACCTTCAGCCCTCGGGACCTTTCTCCTTTGGGATTCAATTTAGTGGAATATCCACTCAGAGCACCTGACTACCTGCTGGAGTTCTTCCTGCTGAACGGGAGATTTCCAAATGTGGTATGAGAAAAAATATATTTTTGTGCTTTTTCTGTGTAGCTGTAGTCTTTCTTTGCTGTAAGTGTCCAATGAGAGTCCTGCTTGATTCTTAAATGCTACATTAACATTCCATTGGTTTTAAAATGGTTAAATACATTTTTCACACATACATAATAATATTGTTTCTCATAGTGGACTGCAGAAGACTGGGCATTGTGTGGGACTTGTGAGAAGTTTCAACATTGCAGTGTGTAGCTGTTTCAATGCTGAATAAGTCCAATGTTCACCAGCTCTTATTTGTCCCTCAAATTTACTGATCATTTTGTTGGTGTCTACTTTTTGACTTTGTGCAGTGGCTTCAGTGTGCAGGGCATGAGGATTCTAAGTATATCTTCTCAGGGATTAAATAGCTTCCTAATGAGCTTTCACTAATGTGCAAGCTTCACTTAAAGGAGAGATCTGACTGCAGGTTCTCAACACATGTCAAGAAGGCCACAGCACTTTAACAGAATTGCTGCTATTAATACTGCTACTCAACTGTTATTAGCAATTCAGTACATACTGTCACTCCAGATACAAGAAAATTAGAGGATTTCAGAATTCAGACTTTCATAATTTTTTTTGTGATAAATTACTGTACGTTTACATAAACATATGAGTAAATGTGCTGATTCACATAAACCGACTTCATCTGCATATCAGGCTTTCATTAAACATACATTTAAAGACAATCCAGAGAGATTAACCTGACCAGCAATTATTATTCATCTGAGCCTCATGAACTTGAAGTCACGTTTATGAATCTGTCAGGAGCAGAGCCAAATATGGACCTCACAGTTCACACAATTTCAGTAGAAAAACCTTTATCTGCAAAGAAACTATAGTTGTTAGATAAATCTTGTGGTGTAAAAAGTACAATATTTCTCTCTGCAAAGTGACTGAAATTTCTACCTTGCTACAGTACTTGAGTAAATGTTCTCAGTTACTTTTTTACCACTGCTAAAAAGGCCTGTAGATGGATATCATAAGTGGAAAAGCTTAAGAAGAAGAGGGTAATATATATGCTCCCTTGCATTAAAACTATCAATTTTTTGTCTTGCAGTGAGTAATATGAGGAAGCCTTTGAATGGGCTGGATCCTGGGATCAGACAGCAGGGCTTCCATTGTGTTTAGACTGGGGAGCAGCATGCAAACAAATCGATAAACCGTTGCGGCCTGTCAAACCCCTGCCCTTGTAGCCACCAGCACCACCAACCCAGCTTTGGGGGGGATTCCAGATACTTCCACTCTGCCTGACAACCTGCGCCAAACACCATGGATTTCATGCAACCCATAAGGAGTCATGGCATGATGGCTTCCTCCAGCTCTGCACCTCTTCTGGGACCTCACAGCAGCTCCACCAGGCACCACTACCAGAGTGTCAGAAGAAAGCTGCGACCTGGACGGATTCTGGGCTTCATCATCAGCCTGGCAGTGGCCTGCACAGTCTGCTCATGGAGTGCCTTGTCGCTGGTCACAACAGTGGATGGCGAGGGTTCAGCCGAGGCAGCAGTGCCCCAAAGAACTCTTCTGCAGCACCACAACCTAACAGCAGCGCCAGAGGACATACCGGTAGCCATGAAATCATCCGAAATAGAGATGAATCACGGAGACTACCCAACGGACTACTTCAGTGTGGAGGAGAGACGCCAGGGCTATGTGGTTTTTCATATGTTTGGCATGTTGTACATGTTTATATCCTTAGCCATCGTCTGTGATGAGTTCTTTGTTCCTGCGCTCACTGTCATCACAGAGAGGCTGGAGATCTCTGATGATGTAGCAGGAGCCACCTTCATGGCGGCAGGTGGCTCAGCCCCGGAGCTCTTCACTTCTGTCATAGGAGTCTTTGTCTCCCATAGTAACGTGGGTATTGGCACCATTGTGGGCTCCGCCGTCTTCAACATCCTGTTTGTGATCGGGATGTGCGCCCTGTTCTCCAAAGAGGTGCTGAACCTCACCTGGTGGCCTCTGTTCAGAGACGTCTCATTCTATATCATTGGCTTGCTCATGCTCATCTATTTCTTTCTGGATAATGAAATCACATTGGGGGAAAGTATCAGCCTGCTATGCTGCTACACCTGCTATGTGACATTCATGAAGTTCAATGCCAAAGTAGAACTTGTCATCAAGAACTTCCTGGGCAGCAACCAGGTGAACGAGCTGGAGACTGCACCAAAGGTGAGCCTGACTCTGTCCTCTATCCATCCCTCCTCTCATTGGCCCATCCATCCATTCACCCCTCCATCCATCCATTTGTACATCCATTGATTGATGTACTTATTTCTAATACCCACCCTACTCTTGCCACTGTTTTGCTTAACAGCAGCCATCCTTTGGGGTGCCAACAGCTGACCCTTACATTCATCCAACCACCCATACATTTACCCCAATGTTCTCATTCAGTGATTTACCCCTCCATCCACAGAAGGAGATTCTCCAACAGAAACAACCATCAAGAAGTTTCTAATTCTTTACGTGACTTCTTTGGTTTCCAGAAAACATGGGAAGGGAAATTTGTGATTCTTAACATGAGTTTCTGAAGTGGATGGGGACATTTCTCAGAGTCCCTTAGCTGAAATCTGAGCATTTGTTCATGACTATTCTGAGAAAAGTGATTGTATTTCATAATGATGATCACAGAGTGAACCTGTCAGGGCTACCGACCCCGAGAACAATAGTACTCCTGTTCTGAGAATATGAGAGGGTGATATACAGGAAGCAGAGAGGGTGTTAAAGACAGCAGTCTGTCAGGCAGCCCAACCCTTCTGAATTCCCCTCTGGAAGGATATAAAGATTTGTCTTAACCTTCCATCTGTGTAGCTCCGACAGTGCCAGACACAGAGCCAGATCACAGCATCTTGGTGCTGACTAAGTTTAGGAACTGGCCTTGTCTTCAGTCACTACTTTTAGTAACCAACTTCAGTAACCAGCAAGACTCTCAGAATAGGACTGATGTAACCAAAACTGGTAGTTAAATGTCCCTGTTCAACTGGACAATACAAAGACATTTTATGTTAGAATAGAAAGATTAATTGCAGCAGATTTATTTTACAATTTCTGTATTTTCTAATGGGGTATTGATCATGTTCCCATCTATCATTCATGTCAAACCACCTCTGAGAGGCTGTATCTACATACTGTCACAGTCTTTGCCAAAGAGTCATATAACCTCTATGACTGGAATTACACAAGCCCTGAAATCAGTTCGACAAAAAAGTCAAAATGCTATTAACCTTTTATTTATCCAGTTTAGAATTTACTTCCTTCTAGTTACAAGGGAAGCACGCTATGATTTTCACACATGGAAACTGCTCCCTAGCCAGTCGGAACATCAGAAATAACAATGCAAAATTGCAGTGCATAGTTCTATTTAAAAACTGTAGGTGTAAGTAATTCCTTTGTAAGTAAGTCACTTGTGGGTCGTTTCAGAATAAGTCCCAGTTTCAATCACAATGGTTATACTGAGATATTTGTTCATTATATTAGACATTTTGATGGTTTTCTCTCTAATATTTTAAATATACCCTGACAGTTACGAAATTTGAGATTCTGGGAGTGTCCTATATGATAGAATTAGTCAAAATCTGAAAGCAGATGATGTAGCATCTCTTCAACCTCATCAGCACAATCCCTCCTTTAGCTCCCCTCCTCTTTGTTCTGACATTTGGAAAGGGGTCTCTTGACTTTTGAGGAAGGCTGTAGTGTTTGTCCTCTATTTCAACTCATAATTTCAGAGCAACTGCAGTTCTTCTCCTTACATCGATTACATACAGATCCCATAAGCCCCTATACATCTGGTCACAATCTTAGGAACATATAAGACAATAGAAGGTATTTTAAGAATTAAAACACACTTAATTTAACATGTTAGAAGTGAGTGGGTTTTTTTTCTAAAAGGCTCTTGAATACATACTCACAGGATGTTGACCTATTCACATTGCACTCACCATACCAATCACTTCACGAACACTAAACTATCCACTTCATGCCAAGATGATGGGAGAGTTTAATCTTGGGACTGGCTTGGAGTACTCATTGTGCTGCTTACTGCTGTGTTTTATAAAAACACATAGACAATGATGCTGCATGGGGTGCAAAAGGTTCAACACATTTACACACAAAGAAGCTATTTTGTTTTTTCACGTTTGTCTCTCCGTCTTTTGTTCTGTCTGTGTGTGCAGTTGGAGTCAGATCTGTTGCTCTCTGATGTTGTAATCTCATACGGCGCTCAGGTGACAAATACTAAAACTACTGTAGGCTGATCTTAGAGCAGCTTGCCCGTAGCCTAGACCGACATCACCCATCACCAGTTCTTCAGGGGCGTATACAGTGCACTGCTGCACGTGATCTGGCTTTTGTCTTTCTGGAAACATTAATGACATATTATATACATTTTCTTGTCATTGTAGGAACATACATACATATATATACATATATAAATTATATGTATACAGAACAAACTGTTAAGATACAATAGTAGTTGAAAACACTTAGACTGAGGGAACTATTTTTATGCTAGTGATTCAGGCCAGTAGAAGTTTGTTTTAGGCAACAGATGAGCTCATGGCCGTATATCTACTTTAAAGCTCTTCCCTTTAAATGCTAATTGTAAACAACTTCCCAAGAAGCTTGGCTTCCTTTTATTTAGGGTTTTCTTATAGAGTTATGAGTTATTTTCTTCTTCTGCATAGCAATCTCTCTCTCTCTTTATATATATGTATATATATATACATATATACATATATATAGCTAATAGCTGACTTAGTACTTTCTTTTATTATATTCAGGCAGATCCAAACATTTTTTCTTTCGTTGTAATCCATTCAAGAATCAGTTAGTGACTATAACAATATGATTTTACTCCCCTGGCCCCAAGTGCATTAACTGAACTTTGTAGTAGTATATTCTGTATTTTTCTTTTCTATACATGTGAGCATATACAGTATATTTGGGCACTCATTAACCTCTGTTTTTATCAGTGTTGTTGCAGAAGCTCTGTTTGACATTTGTGCCCTTCTGGGAATCAGCTGTTCTTCAGACTGTCTCACCTCAACCCAAGAACAGCTTTTCTCTTTCTGTCTGTCCGGCACTTCATGTCCAGCTGCCTTGCCCTCATGTGTCGCTAGCTGCTAAATAATCCTCCAGGTTAATGCTCTCCAATCCTATAAGAGCCTCTAATAATAGTCAGATGCTCCCTTGGGGAGCAGGAATCAGCAGATCACTGAGAGTAAAGACTGAATGCTCCTTCCTCGACCTGCAGTCATGCTCACAACATTTTTTTTGTGTGTAATTTATTGCATGTTTCAAGTGTTTTTGCACGGTACATACAGTGCCTATAGTGTCTATGTAGAGAGGTATCGGGAGAAGATGCTGGTTTGCTTGATGATGGCACTAAAGACGACAATCCCTTCTTATCCCCTTATCTCAACTGCTTACCTGTGGTGACGACAGCAAACATACAGCCCAACACACTGTCTCTGCAGAGCTCTAATTTAATGTTAAAATTCTCCTTGCAGTCATCAATATCAGACAAGGCTCACATCTGCATTGTCCTAAACTACTAAACTGAAGATCTCTTGGGATATGTATCTGTATACAGAAAGAAGATTTATCCGTCAGCAGTTATTAGTACAGATACACATTGCACGTTTACTTCGATTCCAAAGCACGTCTGATTTTGTAGTTTCACATTATGGATCATGATCAAAATTAAACAGTTGTTCAGTGTAAGTAAATGTATCTATAACTGTTGAGCAAGGTGCTTATCACTTACCGTCATAAGTGGAATTTAAATGAGCAGTTGTCTGTAAATAATAAAAAAGGTAGTTGGTGTTTGCTGACAGATGAGAATGACAGAGAAATGTTTGACAGCATGATGACCTGTGAAGGTTGCTGCTGGACTTCACACGCAGGCTTGAAAATCACCAGTCTAAAAGTGGTGATCTCTGCCGATTAATCCTGGCTAAGTCCCACAGCTCGGACAGTCAGATGGACACTGGAGCGAAATGTGATCTTGTATCTAACACAGTAGAAATTGTTGTAAATTACATAACATTTTAACAAGGTATAAAATAATGTCACTCTTGATTATCTTAGTCTCATCTTTAAGTCTGGCTAATGTATCAGTTACAGGTTAGTTATACTGTATGTATACCATATTAGTGTTGCCTTTACCATATGTTTTTTTTTATTTGTGGTGATTAGTCATTGGTGGTTTATTTATATATCGAGAGGACAACTGAGAGAAATAAGGACAAAGGTGACAAAGATTAGCAGCATTTGGAAATAAGTTACAAAAAGGCTTTTAACTATAGTACAGTTACAGACAGCCACCTTTTTAAAAGCTGAACTTAATGAAAATGAGTTGTTGAGTTTTTATAAACAAGTTTTAAAATGTTACATAGATCCAAGAGGTTAAAGGTGTTTGTCAGACTGAGGATTATGTTACTTTAAATATAAATAAACTGGCTTTTCACATGAAGGACAATCATTAAAATCCACTGTTAGTCTCAGCAGATTCTACAGAGGGTTATAAGTGTCTTTTGTCACCAAGCTGCTCTCAGGAGCCATGTGAGCACTAACCAACATGACCTAATGCCAAGCTGGCCTCTGCTATTAGAGCAGAGAGCACGCTGCTCAGCAATCACATGGATAATAAAGACATGTGTCCATTGCTGCTCTTTTTATGTATCTTTATAAATTGTTATATAAAAAAACAGCAACGTGATATGAATACCTGAAGTGAAAAGAAATCAACTTAAGTTTCAGACACATTTTCTGAAATTATGTGTTTTAGCTCATTTCAGTGAGTCTAAGTAGGTGAATCTTACAGTATGTAACATCGCCTAAACTGCAGCCAGCGGGTCTTTATGCATTACCGACTCAATCAATCTGGATCGGACAAACATGTGACAAGCTTATATGAGCAATAGACCTTTAAAAAGAAGAAAGATTCAGCCTTTCTGTAGCTGCCATAACAGCAGCAGGTGTCTTGTCAGATGCAAGCTAAAAGGATTATCTGCTCAAACTCTGGGGCCTCCATCATGAAAACGTGTCAACAACAAAACCTCCACCTCTCTGCCTGGTGTTGGTGATCAACTGATGCTGTCTTTGTAGAACATTTCTACTCTATAATATAACATATGAAGAGAAATTTAATAGTTACCTGAACTGTGTGATGTAATTGTTTGTGTATTAAGTTTATCACTATTTAAGGAAAAAGATGAGGTACACAAGGAGAACTTACCTTAGATAAAATAGTACCATTGCAGCGCCTTACTAAGGTTTAAAAAATTTGATTATTGAGTATATACAAAGCATACTGTGCACAGGACAATAGCTGTGTGCTTTGACTGATTAATTTATCCCTGGAGTACATTAATAAGACACAACTTTCCTGCCTGTTTGCTGTTTTGCCTTAGAGAATTTCTTTATTACAAAAATGTAAAAGCATCTTCCTGAACCCTTAAATATATATCAAATTTAACTAGTTAAATCAAAAGTGACAGATATTTCATTGTATTCTATCCTAACTCATATGATTGCTCAACTGACCTAACCATTATTTTTGCTTAATTTTCTAAACAAATCAGAAAGCTTAAATAACTTTATTCTCATGAAGTTCTCATATTAAGTCATACTGGGATTTAATCCACCTCTACTGCAAAACTACAGAGACCAGTTACTAGTTAATATAGTACAGTATAGTAATACATTTGACAATCTACCCACAACAGTTTATGTTCCCATCTGTCTCCACATCCGACCCCCCACTGCTGACATTATCCACCTCTGTACTTTCACAAACCACCACGACATTCTCTATCTTTCCTCGCCTATGGACTATATCTGTGTGTGTGTGTGTGTGTGGTGTAAATAAAAACACAAGTAGGTTGTGTGTGTGTGCATGCATGCGTGTGTGTGGTTCTCTACAGTATGTGGCGACACTGTTGTGCTGTATATGTCCTCTGAAGAAATGACTGGAGTTGAGATTAGTCCTCCCCTGTAGTCTTCATGTTGGAACAAGATCCACAACCTCTGGCACTGGTTCACTCCCACTATGAGGAGGAAAGACAGAGGAGACAATGATGTAACACACACTGGCAGAAATTAAGGGACAGTGTGTGTGTTTATATAGTGTGCTTTAGATCAAATAAATTAGCAGTATGGGTTAAACACTGAGGCTGTTCTTCCTCTGAAGAGTTAAATGGGGCCCATACCATCTTTCCTACCTGTCTTTCCCACTCTGAAGTGAAAACATGACAGGATGCTCAAATGTTTGGTTGCAGTTAGTGGAACAGATCAAATAAAATCATTATTGCTGCTTTAGGAGTTCACGTGTGTGTGTTCATTGCTCATCCATTGTTTAATGAAGGTCTGTTGAGTAAACAGGATGTAAGAGGTTGAAGACACTTTTAGTTCGAACATTAGCCTTAACACATCTGGGTTCATTGGTGTGTGTTGAACTGTATTGTAACTGTAATAATTGATTTTTCACTTACCCCCCCCCCCATCCCGCTACTGTAGTAATGCAATCCAATCCACACACCACACAATCTGAACAAATATAGCATAATTTAGCACATGCATTTGTGTTACTGTGTGTATATATAGGAAAACCTATGCTGTATACTATGTTTACTTTCTCTGTGTTTTTCCCTAAAGGCGAATGCACCCAAAGATGATGAGAACAAGCTGACGGTGAGTTTGCTTTTGTAAATCTGTCTGGTACTGGTCATGTTATAGGAAATAATTTCTTAAATTAATAAAAATAATGATGATGAATGATGCCGAATGTGGAATAAGTAAGCACATTTTTATTTTAGCAAAAATTTTTATTTTTGTGTTCGTGTTTTTTAAAGGCCAAACCCAGACTGCAGAGGGAAGGCAGCTGTGCTTCTCTACACAACTCACTGATGAGAAACAGCATCTTCCAGCTCATGATCCATACCCTGGACCCGCTCAGTGACGAAGGTATGGGTAAGCAAAAATAACTAAATTAATAAACACAAAACACACACATGCACATGCACTCAAATGCAACTAGATATAATGTTAAAATCTTGTGAAATAAACACTCACTATGACACACATAGGATGCACTGTGCATGTAGATTATATGAACCTTACATTCCTCCACATATAATTAGACCATGTGTTTCTTAATGGTTAATGTTAAGAAAGTTAAACAGCTTTGGTAAAGATTATGTTTAAGATTGGCTGAGATTTTGGTTTCAGAAAAAAATATTTGTGCACATGAGAGTGTTTGATTAAGGTAAGACTTTGCCCAAGTTGGGTTATTATAGCCAAATGGTGAATTTCCACTTCTTAGTATTTCCTCACCTCATTCCTATATTTGTTCCTCCTGCAAGTAGTCCCAGCACAGAGCATGTATACATAATTAATTACACATTTTTAGGAGAGCATGCTGGACTTATTGGGCTTCCTTTGTTTCAGGACGTTTCAAAGAGAAGGCGTCAATCCTTCACAAAATGGCCAAGCAGAAGTGTAAAGAAGAGGCCGCTGCCGCCGCCGCTGCCAATGCCAATGGTGTAGGTGAGTAACCGCAATGTGTGAAGCTATGGGAGTCCATTTGTGCCACTCAATTATCAATTATCAAATCATTAATCAGTTAAGTTGCTGTTGATAGTAAACAACACATAAAGTAATCAAGAATTTGTTATCAAAAATTAATGAATGAACAGGTAGGTTAGAGAATTAAATATATTAGTATTTTCAATAATGGATAATTGAATTCATTATCAAATAATAACATTAAGAACAAACTGACATTTGTAAAATCTTCTATAAAGTATGACAGTCTGGTAGTTCACAAACTATCAGATAAAGCACCAAATTATATATTTTTGTTATTTATTTACTATATACATTCACTTTAATCAGCAAGTTGTGGATTAATTTATCTATGGTCTAATTTATCTGATTTAAATGTGATTTACCAATTTATTCATGAAATCAAGTAAATCTGTCAATTGATCAATTCATTATGAGGGGGGCACAAAATGTCTTCCATATGATACTCTGTTGTACAGTTGTAAGGATGAGTTCAGAAAATTAACAGGCATATTTTGTTTCCCAACATAGGAGCTCCCTCCCAGACACAACCAAGAAAAGCAAATTGTACTAAGTTTCAGCTCTACTTTTAGTGTCATTACACCACAACTTTTCATGTCAAATGAATTATGTCTTTGTGAACAACTCCATTATCCCTCTCACGCTCCTTTTGTTTTTCCCTCAAGCTGATAAAAACATCCCAAACAGTACAAATGTTGCTGTGGAGGTCACACCACCCATGAACGGTGTTGCAGGAGGAGAAGAGGTATGGTTTTTATCTTTCGGCATTTAGCTCTTTTAAAGCATATGTTTCATTAGAGCCTCAGTAAAGCTGTAAAAATATATACAGCATACACAACACGTGGCTGCATTGTACTATAAAACAATTAGAAGGTTTAACTTAGTGATATATAGTGTTGCCTTTATCATCAGTATTGATAACTCCTTCTTAGGGCCCTGAGGAAGAGGAGGATGAAGACCAGCCTCTGAGCCTTGCCTGGCCCGACACCCTAAGGAAGCAGATCACCTACCTCCTCATCCTGCCCATCATCCTTCCTCTGTGGCTCTCACTGCCCGACGTCAGGAGAGAGGTGACAACACACACACACACACACAATCAATGAAAAACATTACAAATCCTTGTAATACTTTAAATTTTGTCTCTAGATTAGTTCATTTGTTACATGGCCTGTTCAATAATTACAGTAATAGCAGGTTCCACTCTTGTTTTTTATTTTCTATTTTAAATACTGTATTGTACGCAGTGATGTATATCAGGTTCTTGGTGGAGCCATTGATGAACTGAATTATGTTTTTATTGACATTTTATTCTCAGACCTCAGCAAAGTTCTTCCCCATCACTTTCCTCGGTGCCATTTGTTGGATTGCTTTCTTCTCCTACCTGATGGTGTGGTGGGCTCACCAGGTACTTAACACACACCACACACACACCCAACACAACACACCAACACACACACTCACACACTGACACACACATACTGATTGGTTTTCTCTATTTGTCACATACACCAACTCTGTTGTCTTTTCTATTCTTTTTCTGAGGCAACCCTATGAGAGTGCAGCAGTCAGGGCGTAGAATGTGTGACCAAAGCAGCTAATCCCACCTAATCTGCTTTGATCCACAGCCAGTTCAATCTGTAACGCTCTATTTTAACGGCACACATGCAAAGACAGGCCTGAAGCAAGAGGTCATGTGTGCAAGGTCACTGAGGAGGCGCACAGGTGCTTGTTTTAGCTTTCATAGGTGCAGAGTGCTGTGTGCAAAAGTGTTACGTGAAGTGACTGTGAACTATAAATCAGCTAGAGGTGATGAATCGTTACCATCGTCTTCTCATAAAGGTTCAGCCTAACATTTAGGAGGATCTATTGGCAGAAATGGAATATAATAATATTAATAGTGTAAAGAAATAATGAAACATGAAAGTGACACACAAGTGATTCAAATGTTGCATTTGATTAGATTTGCTTACTTAAAGATGCAACAATAATGTTACTGCCTCCAACATCTTTTTCTGTCTGTCCTGCCATCTCACTGAAACTCTGCATCTGTGACCTCCACCTCTTTGATCCTATTTGCTTTCTGTTTGTATATTTAGTGTACAAAGTGATGCCACAAAAACCTTATTAAGGAAATAAAAACTGTACAGCTGCAACATTAAGCAACAAATCCTTCCTCTCAGGTTGGAGAAACGTTCTGGATCACAGAGGAGATCATGGGTCTGACCATATTAGCAGCTGGCACTTCAATCCCTGACCTGATCACCAGTGTGATCGTGGCACGGAAAGGCCTCGGTGACATGGCTGTGTCCAGCTCTGTGGGCTCCAACATCTTTGATATCACTGTGGGGTGAGTCCAGCACACAAAAACAAAGTGTAATCACCACTTTTAAGTGAGAATTCAAGCTCAGAAATAAAAACTATCATCTTCCCTCTCCCCTCGTCTCCCACCAGTCTGCCATTCCCCTGGCTCATCTACAACATCATCAACGACTTCAAGCCGGTGCAGGTGAGCAGCAACGGCCTGTTCTGCGCCATCGTCCTCCTCTTCCTCATGCTGCTCTTCGTCATCATATCCATCGCGTCTTGCAAGTGGAGAATGAGCAAGTTCCTGGGCCTTCTCATGTTCCTGCTCTACTTTGTCTTCCTTATCGTCAGTGTCATGCTGGAGGACAAATTCATCGTCTGCCCCATCAGCATCTGAGAGAGAGAGTGACTCCTACTGGTTGTCAGAAAGCAGGAAAAGACGTGTAAATGTGCTCACATGTAACATGATTTACTGTAGGAGTGGAAAAACATGCTCGCACAGACACAAACTGTCCCGTATCTGTCTCACATATATACGTAGTAGACCACTACACACGCACACACACACACACACACACACTGCACACGCAGCACTGCACACCGACACAGACACAGACACACAACACACACCACACCACACACACACACACACGGGTTGTGGATGCCAGTTAAATCAGTGCTGCAGAAACCCCGTCCAGTAAGTGGCACATTCTCTTTCTTTGTACCATGTGAATACATTCAGCAGCTGCTACTGGTTGAAACCTGTGGAAACGCCACCCGGGATGGAAATTAAATTTCTATCGAAGCTCACCAGATATTGTTGAGTGTTCAGCTAAAGGACTGTGCGGCAGTATGAGAAGTACCCCTGCTACTCATGCAAGCAGCCAAGTTAAGCGTATAAACTGAATTCGGGGGCTCAAAGAGACTTTGTGTTTTTTGTTTTAAAGGGCAGCCACGCTTTGGAGAGATCATGTATGTCATTGAATAAAAAAGAAAGGACCGGGGCAACACATAAGTGTAGCTGCTTAATATACCTTTATATTGTAACTGTATTCATCCCACCGCCTGGATGGCTTCGTAATGTCACAGACAGGAGAATATCCAGAGTTAATAACCTGATTGTGTTTTCAGAAACAGTACATTGCATTTGAGGACATATATGTCAGAGATTCATACTTTATATCCCATTCATGAATATCTTTAATAGAGTAGATAAAATGCTAAATAGTTACAATAGAGTGTAAGCAGATAGAATGGACAAGGATTAAGTTAATTAATCGTTAATTAATCGTTAATTAAAAGGTGTTGTCATGCTCAATACTTCTGCTTATATCCCAACTATCTTATTTGGGTTTTTCATATAATAAGCTTCTGAGTGTGATGTTTTCTGTTACATCTGCCTTTACTTGCACCACTTTAGAGAGATTACTTCAGTATGCTGACTAAAACTGAACTGCATGGAAATGTAATAAACAGGTCAGTGTGACATTTCCCAGTATATGATGCGATCTGGACAACAAGTGGTGGACTAAAGTTTAGTGTTCTCTCCGTATTTTACTTGTTAAACTGAAAAGTGTCCCCCACCCCCCTCCTGAATTATGTATTTGTAAAAGGAGTGCTCAATATCAACAGGTATCACCTGGTTTCTTCTGTAATGTTTTTCATGTAAAACAACTCATGTACTGTATAACATATATATGTGTATATATGAAAGCAAATTATAGCAATATTTTTGTCATGGACTTTTCTCCTCTTTCTCCTCTGCTGTAGGCCTTTTGTAATATGGGGCCATTGTTGTTATGTTCACATACTGCTTCCCTGTGTTCAGTGTGTGACATAAAGGGTGAAAGCTTAGAGTGAAGCTGTTATCAGAAACATTAAGTAGGCCCTTATTTCTATTATAAAACAAACATGGACTGATGAAGTTTCAGTTTGTGACATTTGCTTATTTCGACAATTTTGTTTTCCTCTAATCCAAAAAAATATGTAATTTCACATCACTAGAGAACTGCTTTAGTAAAAAAATAACCATAATTATATTTCCATTTAAATGTTGTGTGAAAACAAGCATGTGTTTCCATCAACTAATCTAATATGAATATTCTGAAGAGGTTGCAAAAAAGATTAAACAAATAATAACACAATAAAGAAGTCTGTAAATCTAAAAGTCTGTTTCTGTTACCGTTATTGCATTTTCCCTTTTTGATTTAGCAAAATTTATAAGGGGTTTAAGGGTTTTTCTTTTTATGAGCAAAGTCAAACTGCCCTTAAAACACAGAAGAAACATGTTCCTGTGAGGCAGATATAATAGTGAGCCATTTATATGCTGTCAGTGTTGGCCATCTTGTCTGCATCAGCTGAGCCACCTGTTGCATGCTGGACTGCATAACTGCCCTCATGCAAGCTACAACGCACATCTTCATTCATGAATCATTATTTTTACTTGTGTTGGCTGTTTTTTATGTCAGAAATATGAAATAGAGCTAAATGTGGGAGATATGTTATATTTTATTCTCTCAGCAATCACACGCTCCATCAGTGTTGAAGATATGTTCAATAAAGAAAGGTACTGTCTTCTTCTCCTTCTTCTCCTCCTCCTCCTACTTCTTTCTTTTTCTGATAATAATAATTTTAAAAGGCTATGGTGTTACAGTACAACCTCATCACAACACAAAAAAACACATCTGTTTCCCAAGAACACTCAGGTATAAATGTGTATTTGTGTTTCTTTTTTCTTTTCTAATTGAAATAGACATTTTTATTTTTTATTTATTTGGATTTATGGATCTGATTTTCCTGTTAAGATATACATGGAAATATCAGTTCAACTCTCCCAGAGTTAAAAATCATATTGCGTGTCACTATATTAACCTGCCAATTTGTTTTTTTTAATCTTTATCTTTTCATAAATTTTTTCTTTCATTCTTTTTTTTGTCCAAATGAATATGAAAATAATTTCCATAAAATTGGCCCCAACTATTTATTATCTTGCATTGTTAAAAATGTGTTTTATTGTGTGTTTATGTGTATAAAGGATTTATAAACTGTATATTAATACCTCCTCAACAACGTCTATTCTCAGACTCCAGTTGCAGCCTGTCTATGCAGTGTTGATTCTAAATCTTTCTTGCTTTGATGGATCAGGCGAATGTGTGTATGAATGAGAGCATTTAGAAATATCTTTAAGAATCCATCGATGTGAATATCATGACAAATAAAATGTTTTTGTATTTCCCTCGTACGTTATGCAAATATGGAATCATATTCATGTACTACTTGAATTCTGTATTATACTGTAAAAACATATATCATTCAACTCTGTATTAAGTGTTACATGATAAAATAAATTAAAACTCAAATTTTCACTGCTGCTGTTTGTAGTTGATGGTCAAGCGCACCCGACACACTGATCAAACTGTGACACACCTCACATGTATTTGGGAGTGATGACTCGTGTAGTAGCAGTACAGATACTGATCTTAGGCCAGTTTGGCCGTTATTCTAACAATGGTTAAAGGGACACGTTTAGAATTTTATATAATATAAAGTATGTTTTTATTAATCTATAATCACCTGAAAATAATAATCATTGTGTTTTTGTTACTTTGGAATGAGCCTTTTATATCTACAAACACCGCGGGTCGCCTTCCAAGGAGTCCGCCATGTTGAACCGCTATGTTTGTACAGTAGCTCAGAATTAACAAACCAGACACTGACTGTAGAAAGGCGCTGTTCTTGCGTTTTTTGCGTGTTTCGTGGAAGGGGAAGGTAAGCGACAGATTTAGATGCCACTAAATCCTACACACTGGACCTTTATGGCATAGTTTCTAAACGTCCAGGTCAGGACCAATCTAGTGGTTTCTTAGTTAGTTCGATATATTTTTTACTTTTAAAGAATCATTGGAAACATGCCATCCTTTCTCTGTAATCCAATTTAGACCACCATCTTGAAAGTATAATCCTAAATTATTACAATTTCTATAATAACATTATTATTCTGTATTTGCTATTTATAAAACATTTTAAATCTAAAAAACTACAAACTACAAAAGCCGGTTCACTTAACCTCTCAAGCCGCCTCACTGCACCGATCAGATTTGCAGAGTCACCTATCAGGATGTGATCTGCTTTATTTTGACACAAGCCTCTTACATGGCCCTCTGCCATGATCAGCGTGATGCAACAGGGATTCACTAGACACCTGAGGACAACCAATAAAGGACACACTCACCTGTGTGCTACTGTTTACCGACAATTGAGGATATTCACTATACTGTCCCAGTCTGCTGCCAACCAACAAGGAGGCTACACTCCCAGACATAATTATTTATCTATTATATATATTGATGGATCCAGAACATTTTACAGATAGAGAAGATTTACTTGGTGCTCAGATACTGGACTAACTCAGACTGCTCAAGCCACTGAAACCATTATATTAACCCCTGCTTCACTCTAGAAAGCTTTATTATTATTATTATTATTATTATTATTATTATTATTATAAATTATGTCAAAAAAAGAAATGCTATGGATTTTGTCCCTATCACTTACACTTTCTGTAAGAAGGCCTCTGTTTGAGGCTGGTGTGGACGGGGGTGTAACTGGTACAGCAACCAAAACCTATTTCAGTGCACATATGTGCGTATGAAAGTTGTTTGAAGATCATTTCAAGGAGCCATTTATCTTTTAGTGAATGATAAATATCATCACGAAAGCCAACAAATAAAAAATTATCTAAAGATGGAATTAAAGATTAAAGCACTAATGCAGCACCTGGATTGAGTCTCTGGTCTTTCACATGCCGAAGCAGGAGGTGGCGGTAATGCGATTTAAACTTTTAAATGAAGAAGAAGAAGAAGAAGAAGAAGAAGAAGACGGAGAAAGAAAAGAAAGAAGTGTCAAAAGCACAGTCAAATAAGTCCAGTAGTGCTCCCACAGACAAATCCAACAACTCTAAAACACCCTCATCTTCCAAGAAAGGCAAGAAAATCAACAAGCTTCAAGAATCAAGAAAAAT